AAAATTGCTCGTTTATGTACGGCTTAAAGGGGGCAATGCTCAATCACACTTTTGGCAGTTGTGGGTTTTTTAGAACATTCAGAAGCAGTCAAAACTAAATGAGTCTAACTTTGTTAATTTTCTAAATCAAACAAAGTGAAAAGAACCAGAATGACAATGCAAGTCATTTTACACTGTATATACAGGTTGGTTATAAAACAGATCAGTGTCTCTTTTACAATACAACTGTGCTTTTATGACAGATTGAAAAAATAATGAACCGTCAGTCGATATCTCTATAAAGGGTAAAAAAAAAAATCAAATAGAGGTTTATCATCTGGGCTTTGCACCCTGAATATGAAGATGAATTGCATTTATTATAAGGTTGCCACTCTGCACCTTCTGGACAAGAAGATTTTTCTTTTTCGGTCTGGACTCTTCCTTTCATTTGGTGAGCCACTTTCATCAGTGCCACCGTGATTGGCACAGCTGTTTAAAAGTTATGAGATGAGTAATGTAACTGACTGAAGAGGTAATGATTCATCACCACACCTTCTCCTATAAATATCCCAATTCACCCAAAGCAACTGTCAAGCGTGGATGCTTACTGAAGAACGAAACGAGCAGGTGTGCCTGGATCTGGTTTCATTTTGCATCATGTGTATATGACGCAATGATTCCACTGGGTGTTGTAAATGTATCATTAAAATTAAGCTCAATATGGAAATATTTCATTGCAGCCTTATGAAACTATAGTTTGGAATTAACTTTCATTTTATGGATTCAGCAAAGTGCCTTTTGTTTAGCAACTTTTTGTTTATTACACCAGCTGCATTATAAGGACGTTTTTTGGGAGTTTAAGCCAACACTAACACTCATTCTTCATTAGAAAGAATTGGAATTGATTAAATTTGTGACTTGAGTAGTTAATTCTGTCTGGTGCGCAAAGTTTTACATCATGTTGATGTTTAAGTTTAGGTTTTCGTAGCTGATTAGAATGTCTTTATCAAATTATCAAAGTTGGACGATTAATCATTTGGATACTTTCCAGCTGTTTAGTAGCCTAAGTTGTAGGTAACAACTGAGATAAAGTATTTCAGCTTACAGATGAGATGTTCATCAGACGTCCTCTTAATATCTGGTAATGTTAGTTATCTAAAAACCAGGAAAGAAGTTAAAGAATCAGTCAAGGGGACTCAAGAATGGCTGAAGTGTTTAAGTGTTCACACTATTCCAAGTGTGAGCACTTATTACAAGTGTGAGCACTTATTCCAAGAGAGAAATATTTGTATGTAGAGCATCTGATAGATAGAATTTATTCTTGGCTGCTTTGTGAGCTGTGGTATTCACATACCATAGTGAAACATGGTCAAATGCCAGTGGTGTCCTTGTCTGTCTTTTCTCCCACTGCACTGTTATCAATCAGACACACCGGCCAAAGACAGATACAGTATTCTTAAGTGAATGTACACACAAATACACAAGTGTACACTCTGAAATATACTGTCCTTTAGTTAAAAAATGTAAGAAAGTTTCTCTCTTCCATACTTGGTCCAACCCTTTGCGATTCCAGATGACTTTTACTCATCATAACAGTATGACTCACTCCTGGAGATTAGAACTGAAACAATGAATCTCTATGCATAAAGAAAATATGAACAGAAAGAAAATATGGACAAATGGGAAAATATAGACAGAAAAAAGTTAGTAACAGAAAAAGACAAAAAAAGAGAGATGAAGAGAAAGAGAGATGGGTTCTCTAAGTGCAGTAGCACACAGGCACATAGCTGTGAGTTCCCAGGCAAGTCAGCATGAGCTGCCTATTTGTCAGCATTGATCAACCCATTAAGGGGCTGTGGTGGGAAGCATATTGGTTTTGGAGGCCAAAGGGGCAGGGAGAGACAAAGATAAAGCAAGACGGGGGGTGGTTGAACTCCTTTCAGCCTCAGCAGCCACATGTCTGCAGGATGAAAGCTTGTAGTCTTTGTCTCGAAAGTCTACGCAGTTCATTTCACAGGGCCCAATGGGAAGGTAGTAGATATCATTTGTCTTACAGCATCTCTGGAGGCTCCACTGTATGTGTTATCTTAGCTTCCTGCCACTGCAATGCTAATAAGGAACTAGCAAGCTTCTCAGACATACAGAACGTCACTTGTCATCTTTCTCAGTGTGTCTGTGTGCGCGTGTGTGTGTGTGCACGCAAAAGGTGGGTGGTGGGGTGGGGGTGGGTCTTGGCCCAAGGGGAAAGCAGGCAGCCTCTTCGCCCAGCCTCTGATGAATTCATATAATTAACTCTGCCTTGATCTGTTGGCTAATCCTGCACTCAGTAATAAGGGATTAAAATGTCACCTAAGCCACCTGCTGTTATTGAGCCCCAAGACTTTTGTGCTCCTGTGTGTGTGTCACAGTATGTGAGAGAAAGAGAGTGAAGATTAAAGTAAAGTTGAATTTTACAATTTCTGTGTAGCAAGCTGGAAACATTCTGTTTTTCCTCAAGAAAATGTATGCAGAGGACACTATAAAGTAGCTCAGAGAAGCAAACATCTTAACTCCAGCCATATGCAAGTGAGCACCACTCACAACCCCAAAGTTTGGCAAAAAAAAAAATGAATTCCATAATTTGGCAGGGAGCTGGAGCAGAAGTTGCAACAGACTCCCTCGAAAACTCATTGTCACAGTCACTAAAAAGGGACATGAAAGTGGGGCATGCTTGAAGGTGGGGGTTGAGAAATCTCTTTTTTCCCCTCCTTTCTTACTGTGACCTCCTTGGATGAAGTAAAAAAAAATAATAAGAAGAAAGAAAAGCGTGCCAATTGGTTGGCTAAATGCCTACAGACCAACAGCCAGCTTGCCTTGCCTGCCTTCTGGCCACCTCCACTTGGTTTCCTAGCAACCCCAAGTGTACTTTGGGCTGCTTAATGACTCTTGTTGCTGCAGTGGCTCAGGGGCTACTAATGAAGCCTCCTGACCAGTCGCTTCCATTTAAAACCTGGAAGCTGACTGATCACTGGGCGTGGATCTTGGGAATTCAGGCTACCCTAAACCTCTTATGTGAGACCATTTCTGCCCTCAAAAAAACCCAAAACCTCACCTCCAACAACTTACAAATGTACACACCACACCTTATCTTAACTCTAAATAACTTTCTGGCAATAGCAGACTCGCATATCAATACTTTACCTCTCCTGAACTTTATGTAAGATTTACATGTGAATGTAATCACGGGGACTCACATGGGCTCCTATCACACAAAATTGCAGGATTCCAAATTTATTCCTTCACTGAAGAGTCTCAGTGAACCAGGCTCCCACAGAACAATGGATGTAGCCTAGAAGAAGAAGAAAATTATATTTTTTGTGTTGAGAACATTTATGCTGAGGGACTGCGTTTGTCAACAGAAGAGAGAGTGAAAATTATCTCAGTGATTTATCAAATTATCTCACACCAACACTTGAAAAAAGTGAGTACAAAGCATAAGGGCAGTGAGTAAAAACTGATCTTTGCATTTCTGGCCATCTGCTGGATGGCTATGCTCCAGGAGGAACGCATACTCCATGAATATATAATATGAAATTTTGTTATTCCAATTAGCAACAACTTAACATATTTATTTGGTTGCTCTGGTCTCTGTCTTTCGCTCACTCTCTGTTTTCTCTGTGTGTGCATCTGTGAACAGCTCCATGGGCAAGCCTTGTGATGGCTCTGTCATTTTACAAAGCTTTGTTCCAGTGTCGCAACATATTGCTTCGAGAGCACATTACGTCCCAGGAGTGTCACCATGTATACAGTTGTCTATACGTGTCCACCAAGTCTATATTCAACCAAGGTCTGAGCTCATGTCAACTGCTGTCAAGTGCTGTGTTGCCTGAGGGCCACAACACCCACTATCCTGCCCTAGCTGACTGATCTGAGTGGGCAGTACTCTGTGCCATTCACTGGCACTCTCATGTTGGACCTGTCTGCATGGCCTAGTTAGAAAGATGGCCAACTGAAGTCTGGAAAAAAAACAAAAAACAAAAAAAACAAACAGAAAACCCAACGCCAAAAATAAAAATACAATACAGTGCCAAATATTATGTGCGTAGGTAGCCTCAATAAATAAGGGTCTTCGAGGGCTTAAAACCACTCACCTTTTTTACAGAGGAATAGGGGGATGTTATTTGTATTTTAGAGATCTGTAACACTAGATCAAGTGATTTTCTGTATTAGTATTCAAACTCCAGGGAGAAAAAAACCTGGGGAAGTTTTATTCATGGCAGGCAGCTTTTAATATGTGTGTGTGTGTGTATATGTGTATGTATATATATATATATTTATTATATTCCCATGTTAGCTTGGCAATGTTTTACTTTCACCACACTATGAAATTAATTCCCTACTGTTAACCTTTCAGAAGCTCATAGCTATGCCGTTCGGAGGCTCTAGCACAAGGAGGGTGCTTGGGAAGGGTGGAGTTGGCTGACCAGACCAGTAGCATATTGGTTGTAAGTCACAAAAGGGCTCCTGGGTAGAGATGCGAAAGGGGAGGAGGGGATGCAGGCAGAAAAGAGGGATTGCTGAGGGTCAGGAATGAGCAGGATATAGCTGGTGACTGGGAGTCTGGAGCCAGGAGGGGACAGGAAGAGCAAGGGCCAGCCAGAAAGGACCTCTCCCGGTGGGGCTGGGAGTGGCTGATGTAATAGCATTAATCTCCAAGTGCCATCTGACACCCAGTGTGGCTCCGTCATTGAAAAGTGCTAATTCTGCTGAACTGTGAGGGGAATTCAGGCATCTCTAGAGGCAGTGCCCTGGATTAATTAAACATGCTGGCATGGAGTACTGGACAGATTTATCTCTTTTTATGCCATCTTCACCATTTGATTTTTGTGTTTAGCTAACAGAGGAGGACAAACTCAGGACATTAACACCAGGAACATTGCAACATCTTGCACCTTATATGGTTTCCAGCTAACGTGGGATTTCCCTTTTCTTTCTTCTCACTCTTTCTTTCTCTCCATCTACTTCTTTCCCTTTCTCTCCAGATGAACCGGCCCATCCAGGTGAAACCTGCTGACAGCGAAGGACGAGGAGGTAATTAACCTTCTCTTGGTCTCTGTTGCACCCCCACCCCCCCATTAGAAAACACACACATGTAAAAACACAAATACACTGAAATAGCACTCATGTAATCCCTAATAGTCTGCTCTCACTTGAGAAAATACCAGGAGTTAGTAGACTAGCCTGTAATATAGGTCACTTGCTTCTATTGACTTCCAGTCTGTGCCAGCAGAGGGACTTTCTCAGGTTTATAGTCACTGGGAGCAGTTCAAAGGCAAGATAGAAAGACATGGAACAAAATAAAATATTGAGAAAATAGAAAAGAATAGGGAGGGAATAATCTTTATTCCTGATTTTAAAGTCAATATTAAGAGGAAAATATCGTCCAAACATACATAGATGAGTCAGAACTTAAAAACATGTCAACTGGCTCAGCACTACGACCGAATACCATTTTGAGGTATCATGATCTAAGACGTTTGGAACATTTGTGGTATAGCCATAATGTGTTTTATCCTAAAATAAGAGCATGACTACAGTAGTTGATAGTAACACCTTCTATCACTCTATGAAAACTCTGCATTACCTCAGATAGACTTATCTACCTACCTATTCACTAACCTGTCTTTTTACTTGTCTATATTCCTATCAATTTATCTGCCTCATTAATAGCATATAATAGCACTGATAAATGGAACCATGTAAAGTTAAATTAAGTAATTTTCAATGATTTCCATTATTTGATGTGAGCATTTCAGTAGAACTCAATGGATATGTCTTTTGCTTAGTACAAAAAGGTATGAATTGTGGTATGAATTAACGAATTGTGATATCAAAACATCACATTCTGCTTTAACATTGTGCAGATTCTTTTGCACAGCTTCCTATCATCGCTAATTTGACTTTCATGGTGATTGACTAGATCATTCTAATGTCACTTTTGACTAACATCACTGAGAATAATCCAGATTAAGTTAAAAAAAAAGATTTATGTGGGCTGAATTTGATCTAACCGAACAGGTCTGTGTCAGCCCCGTGCTTTCATTTCAGAGTGGTGATTTAGACTGCCTAGGTCAGTTTACACTGAGTCACTTTGCTGATTTATGTGGTCAAGTGTTAGTCTGATGGGCCATTTCAATTGCCATACACCCCCCCCCCCCCCCCCCCCCCCATGCAGATCTTATTTTTGTCATGGCAGCACTTTAATTAACGGCCATCTAAAAACAGGAAAAGTCTGACCGACAAGGCCTGGGAGAGAGCCAATCGGCATTCTTACCAAGATAAATTGGATCTCTCGGCTTAAGAGGGGAGGATGGATGGGTCCCAATATCAATTACTACCCTTTTCTCTGCAGAAAGAGAAGGGAGATGAACAGGTAGTCTGAATGAAATACAGAAGGCTTTTACGCTGCCCCTGCTAGTCTGTCAGATGAACTTTCTATATAGGAGGACAGGATAGGACACAGCACAGAATGAAATAAGACTGAGCAGACAGGCCCCAACAGAGATATTGAGCGTTAATGGCAACAGGAAGTCAGCAGACAGGCCAGGGAAGTAAACCACAGTCATGGCTGACAATGAAATGAGATTTACTATGAAGGCTTGTGGTTAAAGGAAAATAGACAGCCCTGCTAGGGCTGACTAAAAGTGAGAAAGTAGCGAGGGAGTCATCTGTGGAAGGCTCAGGACCAGTCAGGTACACCAATCCCAGTGGGGCCTTTAGACTGTCAAATCCAGGGCTGAACCAGGACATTTGCACCTCTAGAATGGAGTCACATTTATCACTACCAAGACATCAGCAATTATCTGTCATGGGAACTTGTGGAAGGGTCTCGATTACGTGCCTGTGCAGACATTAGGGCCCATTACTCCATTTGGAGACTCTGGTAGCACTTCTTTTGTGCACAGTGTCCCTGAGAGACGTCCTCTCCCTGGGGATATGGGAGTGTCAGGAGGAGAAATAAAAATCAGTGCTCAAAGAATGGCTGGTAGGGGGCCATAGCACCACACCATAGTGCCAATAGGCTACCGCTGTGGATCATAGAGCACATTCTCTGGCTGTCTATTACAATGGCTCATGCCTACTTTATATTTTCCTTAGATTTTCAAGAAAGAACTTAGCATTGTAGGGGAGCTTAGCTGCCTTTTAATATGTCTCTTATGACAACTATGACAATTTAACATTTACTCAGTGTACTTTGAATGTACTCGGCACCCTGTTTTTTTGTTTGTTTGTTTTTTTGTCAATTGGTCTGTGGTCATTGGAGGAAAAGGCACTTGAAACCTAAGAAAATTGACTTAAAATCCAAAATGAAAAATGCATCTCTACAATAGATCTTTCCATATAACCACTTTACCCTTTCTTTGTCCATCTACCATTTGCAAAACAGAGTAAAGTAGGAGAAGAAGCAAGTGATACAGAAATGGGGATTCAGTACAAGGCCCACAGAGAAATGCAAGAGAGTGAGAGATGGAAGACAAAAAGAGCAAGAGGGGAAGAGACGACAGGATGAGAAAGTTAACGGAGGGTGATGGAGGCAGCTGAGTGAATCTCAGCAGTAAATCATCTCAGAGCCGCCCCATCCCTATCTCCGCCTTGCCTCGCCAGGAATCTTTTTCCCCCTGACCTTGTCTGCTGCTGTGTCTGTGAAGAAAAGATGGGGCCAGATTATCTATGATTGGAGATGGCCATTATCTAAACACAATCTTCGAGCCAGGTCCCACTCCTCTAGCCACTGCTGTGAGACTGGAGACCACACTGATGAGAAGAAAGATGATGGGTCATCCAGCGACACCCTCTCCTTTTATTAACTCTGATAAGATGGTTTCAACACTCTCTTGAAATGCCCAGCAACCTCCATCAACATCCATCAACATCGACTTTTTCACAAAGTGCCACTCAGTACATTTGTCTACACATCTTAGCTCTCCATACTTTTCTCATATTGGAAACTTATACAGTGTCAGAATAATTTCCACCCCTGCACTTAATACTCAGCAACCCTATGTGAACCTTTTTAATATCTTGTCCATGCCTTTTGTCTGTCTGGCTGAGGGGAGTCTTTGTGAATGGCTCGTGTTTGTCTTTGCCAACCTGCTGCTCTTCAGAAGGCTGTCCTCAGTTGGCCAGTGGAGAGATTGACAGGACCTTAAGATATTTTGTGCTGCGCTGTTGTGCCCCAGCCCAGCAGGTTGGGAAGAGTGAGCGCTGCTCACTGAGTCAGTCGGGCAGGCTACAAGGGAGGGGGAGTCTGGAGGCACCTCAAACCCACAGACGGAACATGCACCACTTTACATGCAAATGAACCCAAAAGATCCCCCTGTGCCTCTGGAAAGAATTGTGCCAAAAAAAAGATTCCTGTTAGCAGTTAATGTGTGGGATTTCCATCAAAGTCAGTTATTCTGTTTTAATTTTAGGTTTCAAGGCACCAACTGAATGGCCTAGCTTTTAGGATACTGCATACAGTTAATTTCTCTCAGGTTTTCTTGATCGTTCTGTGTTATTTTTTGAACATGCATAATGGCATTTAAAGCTACCCTCCCTACCCTCATCAGTTAAATAGATGTGACAGCTCCAGTGGCATAAGTAATGTGTTCACAAATACAAAGCCTGTATCATGTACCATCATGCCTGATATGCTGACAATTTAGATGTTTGTTCTCCCCTGATTATTCCATTTAGTACCTCACTATACTGGATAATCCACTTGTACACATCAAATAGGGACCAACAGCAGAGAGGTTTAGTGTGTGGTTCCACATTATTTTGCTCTGGAATGGGGTCTAACTATGTCTGGTAACCGGGTAGGAATGAAACGTGTCAGAAATAGAATGAGGCCTTTGAAGTAAACGCATGCATATTCCCTATCTCAACAGACACCGATGCTTGGTTAGAAATGTTTGTTGTGATATTTGTGACATACTGGGTATCCATTTAGCATCGTTTTCCAATGTGGAGAGTACCATTTCAGAATATTATGTTGTTAAATTAAGAAATATGCCCAAAGAGGAGAAATTCAAGCCTCATGTGGGATTGCTATTTTTGGCTGTTCAATTTATTTTTGAGTTTTTCCCATTAAGTGCCAGATATCCATGGATGTTTTTATGGTTTCTGAAAATTGGGCTGTGGTTAGGCTGTTAGATTTGGTCCAAGTTAATCTTAAGATAGGCATATCAAATAGGCAAACCAAAACAAAAAACAACTAAATACATTTAACCCTAATGCTGACATAGAAATATGATCAAATCCCATCAAACAAAAACCTCAGAAAGACATTTTTTCCATACACATCATCAACATTGAAATGTGAAAGGTGAAATGAATCATTTTCAGGTTGTTGACATTCTATATATTAATACTTTATGTATATCCCTTTATGCAAAATCCCCAAACCCCAAATTTTTCTGCTGATTAGAAGTCTGACAAAAATCTTAATGTACAATCAGAATATGATTCACATATTGATATTCACACATTAAATATTTAAATTTCTTGCAATATAATAATACAGGAAATTACATCTAGTCTAACATAACCTTACCTTAAAGATTATTATGTCCTAAAGTTAGTTAAGAGAAATGTATGGGCTTCAGGTGTGTCCATATATCACTGATCCTGCCTGGTGAGGTGCATCAGTGAGTTGATGACTGTCTCACTTCTGGTGTAAAGCATGGGTCATGTACCGGATTTGGGTTATGGTTACTCCACTCCTGAATCTATATCTGTATTCATACTTAATGATAACTTGTGCAATTGCTCTAGAGTTAGCCTCCAGTGTTGTCTTCCACAGTCCCATTAAGGTCCTGTTGAATGTTATCAGTGCATTAGCCTTGTACAGTCCCAAGCTCTAAAGTATCCATGTATGGGGATTGTGTCGTAGGCTTTCCTGTAGTCAATCCAGGCAGGAGCTCCTCCAGAATTCCTTTCATATGGGTGGCCTTATAGGGGTCCCCAAAAACACTGGGGTGGCACACCAAAAACAGAATTTCCAGTTTTATTATGCTGTTGTCAAATATAGGTTACTTGAAGAATAT